AGTGATCAAACATAGATACATCTATCAAAATGTTGTTGAGATAATAGTCAGTAAATTCTAGATGCTATTTTATTAAATATTATGGATCACTTGACCTTTTTTTTCCTTTTTGCAAATCAAGAGATAAAAGTCAACAATCCAGATCAAGTTCCTCTAAAGAGGGATTCGTTACTTGGGAAATTATGGGTTAGAGGTTACAGTAGACACAGAATTAGCAAGCATTTTACAGTCTCTGATGAGCTTCTTCCCAGAGGCTGAGCTTTTGCACTGCTGTTATCACTTACATGTAAACTACGCAGTATTATTAAAGCCCCAAAATAGGAATTACCCCACTGCATTACCTGTAACTGCATTCAAAGGGCTCAGAATTAATACAAGGATAAATGTCAAGACATTTATCAAAATTTCCTACATTTCATTGTTTCTATCACCCACTAATCTGTTGCACCCTTAAGCTCCTGAAGTGAGCTTACTATAGGTGGGAGTTTGTGTAGTACATTGGAAACTACACCTGAAAAAAGTGAAGAAATGAACAAATGTTCATTTTAGTAATGGACCTGATGGTGTTGCTGCTAGTGGCACTAATTTCACAATCTGCACTCGGTGAATGACTTCATTTTCACTGGATTAGATATTTCTTCAATCATGACAGACCTATCATTCAAAACCCGTCTGTGCCTTGCGAAATGTTTGCAAAGGCTCAAAAGGTGGAAACAGGTTTCAACAAAGCAAACACCAGACTCAAGTCGTGGGCAACAGTTTTCAAGTGGATCCAAGCCAAACAAACCAACACCTGTGTTGTGCTAAAAACCCAATAAACATAATTGAACGGAAGAATCCATACCTGGCAGCTGTTGGAGTTTCTTCTCGTTTGTGAGCTCCACGTCATCTTTATGCGTGCACAGCCTGGTCGCTAGGATCCCGTCCCTCTCGATGCGATGGTAGGCACTCGATATCAGTTTAGTGGTGACTTCCTCCGTCACCCTGAATGGTGAGAGAGAACCTCGCCTTCAGAAAGACTATTTTTCTGGGAAAGCATAAATGTTTTGCAGTACAAAAAAATAAAATAAAATAAAAAATGAACTGCTGTCCCTTTATCAGCTGTATGTTAATTTCTGTAAAATATTTAGGTGGACACAACATTGGACTGTACATTTGGTAGAAAACATTCCCATCACAATACAGTGGCATAGTTTGAGAAATGGACAGTGCCTATTATATTACCTGCCCACTCTCACTGCCTGCAGGAGAGAAATGAACAACTTGTCCGTTTGCCTTCTCACTTCCGTTAGCTCCATGTTGAGTTGGATGACCTTACGCCAACTCCTGGCCTGAACAGCGATAATGGAAAAAGATCCGTTTTGCTCTAACATCTATTAATGTTCTTCAGGAAATGAGCAAAATGTCTGTAGAACAGCTGCTGACTCATGGGAACAAGGTAGACCAGCCTGAATTGAATAACTCAGTACATTAAAGGTTTATGTACTCGGAGAAACTTATGAGGATATATTAAAACAACAACAACATTTAAAACAAATTTACTGCTCCAGTAAAGAACATCTTGTTTATATTCAGCTTTTACTTCCAGGTACATAAATCTAGTGCACAAAATATTCCCATTACCAACTAGTTGAATGGATGTATTTCTGAAGCAGTCCCCTTACTGGGTTGTTACAAATTTTTCTTAAATCGATTGCCCTAATGACCTATCGGTCTGTTGGCACACAACATCACTAACAAAATGAGATTAACAAACAGGGACGTCCTGGTCTGTACAGGACAGGGAAGATGGTTCAAATTGATGGGAAGATGGATGGAGCCAAATACAGGACCATTCTGGAAGGAAACCTGATGGAGTCTGCAAAAGACCTGAGACTGGGACGGAGATTTGTCTTCCAACAAGACAATGATCCAAAACATAAAGCAAAATCTACAATGGAATGGTTCACAAATAAACATATCCAGGTGTTAGAATGGCCAAGTCAAAGTCCAGACCTGAATCCAATCGAGAATCTGTGGAAAGAACTGAAAACTGCTGTTCACAAATGCTCTCCATCCAACCTCACTGAGCTCGAGCTGTTTTGCAAGGAGGCATGGGCAAAAATTTCAGTCTCTCGATGTGCAAAACTGATAGAGACATACCCCAAGCGATTTACAGCTGTAATCGCAGCAAAAGGTGGCGCTACAACGTATTAACTTAAGGGGGTTGAATAATTTTGCACGCCCAATTTTTCAGTTTTTTATTTGTTAAAAAAGTTTGACATATCCAATAAATTTCGTTCCACTTCATGATTGTGTCCCACTTGTTGTTGATTCTTCGCAAAAAATTACAGTTTTATATCTTTATGTTTGAAGCCTGAAATGTGGCAAAAGGTCGCAAAGTTCAAGGGGGCCGAATACTTTCGCAAGGCACTGTACAAATCCTAGCAGTCTTCTATGACACCTCTTGTTGACCTAATCCAAACAGTCTAAACTTGGCTTAATTGTAGACACTGCTTCAGAGAGAAAGTGCACTTGCCAGTTTGAAAATGTTTAGGCATGACAAAGCAGAAGCAGGAAAATGGTTGAGTCATATTTCAGGGGTGTGGCTTCATCTTGGCACCTAGATTTTGGGTGTACAGTGAAGCAAGTGCGTGAAAATGTCTGAACACGTAAATCAAACATTGTATTCCCCTCCAAGAACACACCTCATTACAGATAGATAACAAACAACAGTGCACTTCCCAGACATACTTGAACAATGAGAGCATTTTAGCTCCTTGCATTATTTTCTGTAGCTGTTATTATTCCCTGTCAAGTGTGATGTAATTCAGTGATCCATATGCCAAATACCATGAGGTGCTGCCAACTCACCACAAGTCTCATGCCAGCTCTGAAAAAAAAAAAAAAAGCCTATGATCCCAGGACACCTCAGTAGTGCTAAGTGTGCGTGTGTTTGCTAGTGTATGGCTCCTGCTAATTTCTGACCCTAGATGGACAATAGTAGGTGAGCAGATTGTATTTCCTTCTAGATTCAGTATTAATAAATCTGTATACTACTCTGCCACACTCTTTGCAGGCAAAAAGGGAAGACTGTCTCCCCCACCCCAAACCTTCCAATACCTTGCTCTCAGCCCAACAACTGCTTATGTAGAATAAGATGCCTTGTGAATGTCATGAAATAAATAAGAGGCAAGTTCTCAGAGGAAAACAGATTAACAGAGTAACCCGAGCAGGTGTGAAAGACGGGTGTATGGATCTACTGCCATACAACAATCTGCTGTGAGCAGTCAAGTAAGAGACCAACTGGGGCTGAGGACAACATACTTGATCTCCAGGGCCCACATTTATTAAACATCTTGGCTTCTTAAATTATGGAATTATTTCAAATTAGTACTTCTATTCTTAGAAGCCTGAAAAACTTAGTGTCTGTAGACCTTTATTTTTATTATCTTTAGTGCTTAAGGTTTACAGTGAGAATGACCAAATATAGTGAAGAGTGCCTTAAACAACTGAATCTAAATCTACTGTAGATTTTGAGCTTGAAATGCAGCCTACCTGCACAGGGGAATGAGCTGACAGCTCATATTTCATGTGATTACTGCAAATGATCAGCCAGAATGTTTCTTTCCTTTTCAAAATAATGGTAGGATTGTGCATTAACTTCTTGAACTGGTTTTAAGAGCACAGGAAGTTCTGTGAGATTTATTTAGACAGTAAAGACCATGCTATTATAAAATGCCCATGGTCTTTATATAGATACATGCATGCATGACCCTGGTTAATAACTGGTTTTCTAGCATGGATGATGATCCCTCAATGACCCTGGCTCCTGTAGATGTGTAGTGCTTTTCCAGTATTATCTTGGACCAGTCATGCTTAATACCTTATTGGATTTTTCATACCTTTAAATGTATTTCCACCTTTCCTGTATAATGAACATTTCATACTCATTCACACTTTCAACTAGAAATGTTGTTCATACTTTAAAAGGTGACCACCTTTGGTTCTTCATCACTTTCTCATAAATTTTAGTCTAACCTTTATGTTTTTTTCCAAAACAAGTTGGTCATCTGGGTTCTCTGATGTCACTGCGACAGTAAAGACCAAATCCTGTCTAGACAGTCATGTATTTTCACAAATCTGAATAACAGGCTGCGCCAATATTTGATTAGTATTTGTGGTGTGTGGACAGGAGCACTATCATCATGGAAGGTATCAGAATAAATCATAGTGCACATAGACCTACTCATGTTTAAGTAATGATTTTGTACTTAGGGGTAACACACATAAATTGAACTGTTTAACTGAACTTGATATATTTTTTACTAAATGACCAAAGTTTGAATTTAATTTATCAGTACTGAATCTATTCTTACTTGATATTATTACAATAATTATTTTTTCCCTTTTGTTTCTCTGTTCATGTGTCATGTCTGTTGACACTTTGACGTTCTTGTCTTGTTATGTATCTTTGCACAAAGAAGGGGGAGGGAGGAGATAAATAGTGCTAGTATTATTGAAAATCGGTTGGGTATTGATTTAGACAAATATTGGCCATGGGATGCCAGCGTTTGAACAAGATAGGTCAGATTGTCTGGAGAAAAGTGTTAGCTTTAAACACTGGTTGCCAAATTACTCTAAACAAAGGCATACAAAATGGGCTTCAATCTAGAATAAGTGTTTTACTGGAAATGTTTCAAACTAGCCTAGAGAATACTTTGACACCAAAAATAACCTTTTAGGTCTTTGCGTTTCAGCAATTTCAGTCATGACTCTAGGATGAAAACGTGCTTCTAATCTTTACAGTCAGCCACACTGCTGGTCAAGCACACACCAGTGTGGGCTAGGCAGTTCAACAAGCTCTATATATTAGTGCATCTCAATTATTGCAGCTGAGCAAAGAGTGAGTGGGGGGGTCTTTTGGCTACACAAGCAAAAACAAACCCAGTTCCAGACATATCACCAGCTGACAAGCTGAGGAAGAGCACCACGTGAAGAGCCAGATGAAAAGGTGCATTCATTTCAGCTCTGCTAAAACCGAAGGGGGCATCCTAATTACGGAGATGGCTCATGTGACCACCGGTGACAAGCTGTTTTACTGTAGTCCAATACGCTGCTGCTGCTGTTGATGATGGAGGGAGTGCTTTTTCCTTCTGCTAGTCTTGACGAAAAGTGGTGAGACATAAGGGGAAACACAGTCAGGCGGCTCGTCTTGTGCGTACAGAGCCAGGGGTACTTCAACGGATTTCATCAACATGGCTTGGAGAGGAGGGAGAACACGGTCGTTTTATCGACCAATCCAGTTTTTATACTGAGGCTGGTATTGTTTTTTGACTGGAGGACTCAGAGGAAAAGAAAAGGTAACATACATTTCCCTGAGTCAATTGGAAATGGGAGTGAAATGTTGCTACGCCGTGGTTTTCTCGGCTGTGATGGTGGTTGGTGTTAAATGTTGGCGAGCCGGTGGTTTAGGTTTCTCCTAATGTTATCTGGACTACCTCAGTATTGTTGTCTTGTAAGACTGTAGCACACATACTATTAGTAATCTTACATGTATGGACAGTTTCGGACACATAACGGGCTTTCCGTTTGTACCAGAGCCCATGCGCGGCCACTTCATTTCCCGACCAGCACTGCAGGCCTGCCGACGCGACCAAGCCAAATACCCCACTATACCTACGTAGCGATCCTAGCAGGGCTGGCTAACTTAAGCTAAAGGCGGCTAGCTGCTTGGCACTCTGTCGCTATTTCTACAGTGTTTACTAACCCATGTTTGAACATCTCCGGTAACCATTCATAATGTGGTTTTACAACTTAAGCGTAAAGCAAAGCCTTTTAAGGAAACCTTCAGGTAATCTTATATATAGCCATTGTATGTGGACATAGCATTGAACTACTGAACCACAAAATCCCGTTATGTTTATCTTGTTAGCCGAATACTAAACTTTCCTGTTAATGATTTCACGCAGCTACCTGGGTAAATAGACACCCGACCTTCAACTGAAACTGTGTGGATACCCGAAGGGACTAGACGGAACCCGTGGGGCTCGAGCCCGGGACGGGTTAGGACAGAAATTTAGAAATGATGTTCGGGTTGGGACACGTAGGTCAAGAGTTAGGTTAAACGGCTGGAACACTCAAATGTCTGAGTAATGAGAAGGGTAAAGATACAGTGCAAACTCAGCTGCATCGGGCATGGGTCGGGTTCGTAAAGAAATATGTGCTCCATGCTCTAAACTGAAATACAATGCGTTTGTCCCCATGCATAAAAAAACAGCAGTTACATGGTGGTGAGGTTGGTCAAACCACTGTAGGCTACTGTGGGGCTGGGGAAGTAGATGGTTGGCCCCTTTCTTGTTACGAACATAGTCAGATTGTAACAATTGTAGCTGGATAATGTTATGTTGCTCATGGTCCAGAAATGCCATATCTGTAGGAGCAGTAAACTGAATCTTTGGACTGGACATGTTTGTATACTGTACAGCAAATGCTGAGTACAACAGGTATCATTTGAATTCCTGTTTTCCAAACCTGTTCAATAATAGCTGCTTGTTAGGTAACTTTCAAGTATTTATTAGCAGTTTTATCCTGTTAAATAGTTTAATAAGTTGCATCTAATGGTAGATAAATCATGAAGTATTAAGACAATACATTTTTAAGTGAGGGGGAAGCATCTGTTACCTGGTGGGGTATAAACTGCTCTTTCAAACGCAAGCTTCTGGTGTGGTATTACAGTCTTATCTGAGCTCAGCACTGCTCAGAGGCCTTCCTGTGCTAAAGCTCTGTATTAACTCATTTGCAATTGCCTCAAGCAGATCTCACAATGGAAAAGAGATGCCCCAGATGAAATTTTAAATGTCATATCTGAGAAATTTTGTGCAGGTCATGTCTTTAATGAAAGCTGCAGATTGTGCTGAGATAAGGGCTATGTGTGTGGTTGAAAGATATTGTATGGTGCTGGGTTTGCAGTCCATTAGATGGTAGAGGGCTCAGGATAATTGGCAGCGTGTGTTCCAAATGGACACCAGGCCACAGAGACAACTAATGGGTTGTCTTGTCTGTTGTCAGATGATATCAAGACTGGACATGACTCGGTGTGTGTGGCACGATTTGTTTTGCTGGTTAAATATGTGTATAATCTGGTAATCTTTTACTTGGGTAAAAAAGCAGAAAAGACACCGAGTAGTGATGACGGCTAGTCTCTTATCAGTTGTTCAAGTGTTCGTTACATAAGTCCAACAGTAAGGCTGTCACTAGTTTAAGGAAGCCACACCCTTGCTGCTACAGAAAGTGTGACAGCTTCATAACAAAATGTTGGTAAACCCTGCGGTTGGTTAATTTGGTTAAAAGTGATTAAGAAGTCACTTCTTTGTCAGTCTCACTTCTCAGTTAAATGCAATTAACCTGCCTCACACACACTTGAACAACTGATAAGAGGCTAGTCGTTGTCACTACTTGTTGTCAGGTCTGCTTTATTACCGAAACACAGCAACTGCAAACAGTAACTCTGTGCCTTTCCACTCTGCTTCACTTGCTTGAGACTTTTGTCAGGATTGCCTGCAAAAAAAAGCATAGCTAATGTGAAATTTTTTTTCTTGTTATTTTTTTTTTAATTGCATTTGGAGACTGTCCCTCAAATATGACTAGGTCTGCCAGTAGATATGCCCCTCACTGGGGCAGTAGAACAGCCTATGAACACAAAAGTACCAACACTGAGAGAAATGGAAATGGTAGTTTGGCGAGCAAGAGAAAGATCAGCCCCTGGGCCTAATGGCGTGCTCTATAAGCTATATAAATATGTTCCAGACATGTTGAGGTTTTTGTGGAGGCTTATCAGAGTAGCATGGAAGAAACAGCTTGTTCCTAAGTCATAGAGAGTATTAGGAGGGATTTTTATCCTTAAGGAGAAAGATTTAGTTGTAGTAGGGTAGTTTAGGCTTATTTGCCTTCTGAATGTAGAAGGCAAGATTTTCTTCAGTGTAGTGGTCTAAAGGTTGTCAAGCTACCTAAAAACGATCAGACTTATTTGACACATCAGTGCAGAAAGCCAGAGTAGCAAGTTTTTCTGGATGTTTGGAGCACATAAACATGATCTCGCAACAAACTCAGTCAGCAAAAAGTGAAAAAAGAGAATGGCATGTGATGTTCTTAGACCTAGCTAATGGTTCTGTACCACATAGGCTACTGTGGGAAACAGTAGCTTATTTTAAAGTACCAGACTTGGTTAAAGGGCTAGTGAGAGAATATTTTCAGGATATCCAGATATGTTACACAACAGCAGAGTATACTACAGCTTGGCTGGGCATCATGGCAGGGTGCACAATATCACCCCCAGTGTTTGCCATGGCAATGGAGATTATCGTTAGGTCATTCATCTAGATCAGTGGTCCCCAACCTTTTTATCACTGCGGACCGGTCAACGCTTGACAATTTTACTGCGGCCCGGGG